AAAACAGGATTAGATACCCAAGTCGGGTACTTGGTCTCTTGAATAAACTTGTTGTCAACCAACTTTTGAACTTCTTCCTCGAGAGCTTTCTGCCGGTCTGGGCCTAGTTTACGTCGTTTTTGGATCATTGGTTTAATCATTGGATCCAAGTTTAGTCGATGAGATGCATCTTTCGGATCAATTCCTTTCATGTCTTCATGTTTCCAAGCAAACACGTCGGAATTGGCTTTGAGGAACTGAATGAGCCGACTTCGTATAGGTTCTCGAAGACTGGCCCCAACTTGTAACGACTTCTTGCAAGTCGGTTCATCGACATAAATTATTTCGGTATCTTCGGATGGTTCTGCTCGATCGAGTTTGTTCTTCTCTTTAAATTGAGTTCGAGGATCAAGTTCATCCTCGTCTTTTATTGGTTCTTTGCCAAGTCGTCTTCCATGATCATAAACCAGGTCATTATTTGATTGTGCTGGGTCAAGTTCCATCTCGGTTTTGTGTGATTCCGAGTTGACAAGAGTTGAATCTTCTTGGTCTTCTGCGGCATTTTCCATCATGTGCAAGGACATACACGGCTCATGCCAAGGTTTGACCCAGACCATGCCGCGAGCTTCGTACTGGTCCCCATAATGAGTTCCTTCGCCATAATTGGTAGGAAATTTCAAAGCATAATGAAAGATTGAAACAGCTGCACGAAGCTTATATAGAGCGGTCCTGCCAATAATGGCATTATATTGATTTTGAATATCCATCACCTTGAATGTCTCCATAATGACTTTGGAGGCTTGTCCAGGAATTCCGAACCGAATTGGCATAGTGATTTCGCCAAGAATAGATGTGATTGTGCCATTAAAACCTTGTACTTGATCCTGGCAAGGTTTCAGCTCAGCTGGATCGATTCCCATCTGCTCGAACGTGCGTAACATCATAATACTCGAATATGCTCCTGTATCCACCAGCATTCGATGTATCAGTATACCACAGATGGGTGCCGTGATGACTAGAGGATCAGCATGAGGGTGATCGAAGTAGCTAGCATCATCTATATTAAAGGTTATGGGACAATTGTTTCAAGCATTAATCTTATCTCGGAGGTCGGTCGTCAAAACAGTTTTGCCCGAATTAAAAGCTTTTCGAGCATATGCTTTTATTTGCCTTCGTGATGTAGGCGTTGCATTGCTACTATTATTCACGCGAGTTACGTGATGAGAATTATCAGGATTATAATATCCTTCTTGATGAGGCATGAAATCACGTTCTTCTTGATGCATCATGTATATTTCCTTCTCACTCGGTCTCATTCGTTTTGGATTAACTGGACGTCCTTCATCGTCGTCATCGTCTGGTAAATCAGGCATTCTTCCTTTTCGCTTGTAATCAGCATTTTTAGCAAACTTTTGGACTTGAGGATGTCCAATGAGCCTCAGTAAGGCGGAGAGTAAACCGAGGCATTCGTCAGTATTATGGCCTGCCGATTTATGATATGAACAATATTTTGTTTTATCAAGTCGGTCTTCGGGAGTTCGGACAGGTCGAGGGTCATGAAGGATTCCTTTCCCTTTTAATTCTTCGAATATAGTTGCTGCTCCCGCCGAGAATACCGTATGGTAGCTGGATTTGATTTCGTCAAGATATTTATTTCTCACATCTTGCACTTCTGGTAGTTTGGGATTCCCGAATCGAGACTTATTCGGCTTGAAGAATTTATTTTTCTTCTTTTTGGATTCCCGACCGACGTCCGACTTCAACGAAAAGTCGATATTAGGTACCGACATTGACTCCTCGGCTAGAATGTGCTGTTGAGCCCAAGCTAAGAAGTCTTGAAATGAGGTCGGTTTATTTTGGCATATACTCCACCGGAACAACGAATTCGGCTTCAGCCCAGCTATTGCTGTAACCAATAATGTTTCTGGATGGCATTGCTCCATGTTTTGTATGCGTTCGTTGAACCGAGCTATATAATCTTTTACGCTTTCATCGTCTTTTTGTACGATATTAGCGATTGACTCTTTGGGAATTAAGGAAACTCGGGCCCCAATAAAATGAGACCGGAAAGAGGTTCTCAATTGATGCCAGGTGGTAATTGAATACCGAGATAAAGAGTGATACCATTTTTGAGCTCGAGATCCCAAAGTTAAGGAGAACATCCGACATCTTAATGCTTCATTGGCTCCATGAAGATCCATCCACGATGTATACTGACCGAGATGAGCGTCAGGATCAGAAGTTCCATCATATAAGCCGATTTGTGGAACTTTTATTTTAGTCGGAATAGGCTCCCTAGTCAGATGAGGGGCTAGAGGAGTTCCGACCTCTTGGTACGTCTCTTCTATCATCGGAGTTCGTCGCGGTGATTCTCCATGTTCGTCTTGGCGAGTTTCAAGCTCAGCGATTCTCTTTCTCAGCATTTCTAACTCTTCTGATTCACGTCTTTGACGATTTCTTTCGATCAAACGACGCAACTCATTTTGCCCGCGACGAGCATGATTTTGGTCGAGAGTTTGTCGTAAATCAGAAGGTTGATCACGTCGTAAAATTTCTGGTAACGACGGAGTTGGTTGTCGTGGTCTATTTCCAGAATGACTTTCTGCGGTGGCTTCTGACCTCGCGGCTTCTGGAATTCGTGTTCGTACTGGAACCATCCCGCGATTTTGAGCTGCAACATCATGTTGTGATTCATGTGTACGTGAGCGAGACGTTGCATGTGACGTAGCGGGATTTTCATTCCTTTGCGGAGTGGATACAGGGTGAGTTTGTGGATTAGTTGCTGCAACTGGTTCAATTCTGGTCCGTGCCATGAAATCAGTCAAATTCTTCAAGAACTCTGGATCTTGAAATAAAACTGAATAATCGATTGATGTGGATGGCACAGCAGAAGTTCCAGTCATATGAGTGGGATGGCGATTAGTTCCAGCATCTGGGTTACGTTCGTTTCGCCCAGAATTCGACATCTTTTTAGAATAGTGATACAAGACAAACAATCAAAGGGACACACAGCCCTCCTTCTAGCGCCAAACTGTTGTTGTCTTGAATTAACAACGCTAAATTAAACACAGTAGATGTCAAGAAAATAAAGATAAACTGTTTTATTTAATTTTATTCGTTGTATTCACAAGAGTACAGGAGTCGGTTATGAGATAAAAACCGAGATCATTTGTAATCCGTGTACAATGTGTTCGAAAAGATCCTCGTACTATCATAAATTCTGCTATTTATAGTACGGTGGCTTTTGTCTTTTTTGCTCGTAATGGATAAAGATGTATTTAATGTTGAGCTGCTTCGCTTGAGGCGGCGGGAAACATCAATGATGGCCTTTTTGTTCCGTTGGTCCAATCAGATGCCTCTAATGATTGTTTTCTGTTGGAAAGTTCAGACTTTGTAGTAGTCGGTTTAACTGAAGTCGGTTTTGGCTTCAGATGTCGGTTCTTTTAAAGACATTCGAAAGTCGGTAATTCTTCAGAAGTCGGCAACCATGTAGAAGTCGGTAATTTGCTTTAAGAAACACCGACTTAAAATAAGTTCATCTCCTTAGTGTAATTAATCTCCATTTTCAATTTTGCGGTCAAGTCGGATATCAACAGATTGTCCAAGGGATCGCAGGCATATTAGATCTTTCGATCCAAAGTTTGAACTTGTTTTTGAAGATCCAAAATCATTTGTCTAAGTTGATCTGGTTTTTGATCAGTAAAATCCTTAACTGGAGATTTGATTTTTAAAGGATTAGTTTTGAAGACTGTTCTTTCTTCTTTTAAAAATTCATCAGATTTTTCTGATATTTTTAAAATCGGAGTTTTCAATGTTAATACTTCATTGAATAATTCGTCAATATATAAACGATCTCGATGCATAAATTCTATGCTATGATGAGAATTACTTAGCGCATAATTAATACGATAGCATATTGAAAAAGGATGATTTCCTTCCTTCATGAAATTTTTTCGAAGAAAATTATAGTTTAGGATGATAGATCTATCAAGATCCAAATCCTTTAGAGAGAGACCAAGTTGTAAATTAATATCGAACTTGATTTTTCCCATTTTGAGATTACCAATTCCTTCGGCGATCTTAGATTCATCTAGATTGATGAGTCTATTATCTCTTAAAACTAACTCTAAGGGAGAGTTAATTCCTTTGAGAAAAGTACTTTTGATGATAACTTGAGCAGTAGAAATATGAATATATTTCAATTTATTTCTATCTTTTTCAGGAAAAGAAGCAATTCTTCGACGAACTTGTTCTTTGTTGATTATCGAAAGCATAACTGATCCATCAGTTCTTTCAATCGGGACTAAAAATTCCCCAGTCATCATTCCAAACTTTATAATATTTTCTCTTGAAAATACCATTTTTATATCTTTGAGAATTCCGGTTTTAAAATTCTCGTTTTCTTTTATTGAAAAATCTGTTTTTTCAATTTGTTTGCTGAGAACAGCATCTATTAAAAATTCGTTTTGATCGTCGATAGAATCGATTATCTCCATTAGAAATAAATTTGAAATAATTTGAAAGTATTGAAATGTTTAAATATTTTGATAAGAACCATTTTTACCTGATATTCTCTTCTCAATTGGATATTGATTGGAGCGTTCTTTGAAATTTTTGAATGAATTTTGTTGATTTGGTTGGCAATTCTGTTGAAAGAAGGATTCCGGGTTCTTCTAGCACCCAGCGACGCCGTCGCCCTTAGTCTACACACCGACTAACAGGTGTTTACTATACAGTCGTAGTAAATCGACGAGAAAACTTTTAGAGTTTTCAGAAAGGAGTATTTAACTCGATTTCATAATATTTCAAAGTGTTCTGTTTTATTCAAACATACATGGAAGCCTTATATAGGCGAGGTAGCAAGCCACAACTGGTAACCGGCTGCTTACCGAAAACGCGTAAAAATAAAAGTGGTCCACTATACAGCTGGTGGTCACAATAATTTACATTAGTGGACTTTTAAAAGTAACACGCAAAGTCTACATTATTGCGTCTTTTAGGTAAGATGTCCCTTTCTTCCTTTAGTTGCTGTCGGGTGTGTTGAGGAGGTCATCCATTTCTTCAGATGTCTCTTTCTCTTCTTCTTTTAATGGTGGAAAGTCTTCTGGGCACAGCTGGCATTTGTGTGATTTATACCTTTGAAGCTGGTTGCATATTATCCTTTTGACTTCTTCTGGTATTTTGGAAAAATTTCCTGTGAGGGTGATTAGATCTTCTTCAAATTTTACCATTTTTTCGATGGTGTGTTCTGTTGCCTTTTTGTTAGTGTGAGAGAACACTATTAATCCTTCTTCTTCGGCCAAGATCTTGAAACCGGCTTGTGTAGTTCCAAATTGTCGACTATAATTGTAAAACTGATTAATTTGTTCTACAAAATAGTTTAAAGAAAACTTTATGTTTTTCTGTTGGATTTCTGGGTAAAGTCCATTTGCCATCCCTATTTTAACCAAGTGTTTAGGCTTGATTATTTTATCGTCCTCGAACATTGGATATGTGCTCTGGACTTTTAGATAGATCTCTTTACCTTTAGCGAACAATTTATTAAATTGTTGAGCCATTTTACGAATTCCTGATGGTAATTGAGAAATTTCATCATAGGATTTGCTTGGGTCCTCTTGGAGGTATATTGTTGTGATAAGTCCGTTGTTAAAGAACGAACTTAGTATTGCTGGATTTGCTCCGGGTAGGAACACGGCTTTTGCCCCTGTGTTGTTGACTATGGGATAGAAACACTCTTTAGAGATTTCTTCAGAGTATTCTGTTACCCATCTCCAATTACGGTAGAACTCGGACTCGTTTGGTTCTGAACTTGTTCCTTTGAGTTTTTCTTGTATTTTTTCTAAGGATGAGAATCTCCTTGAGTATCCCATTTCCTTATTTGATGTAATTCCATCCTCCGTGGAAATTGTTTTGTAAACCTTCTGGTAGGCTTCTTTGGCTTCTTCTATGGACGGATAGCTTTTGTGCCTAACAGGCTTTCCAATTATATGGAGTTTTGCGATACTCCAATTTTGATAGACTCCTTTCATTGGGCCGTCAAAAATAACATAGGCCTTTTTTGAGTTGTCTATCTGTTGGTCAATTGGGTCTTGGGCTTTTTGGGCCTTGTCTTTTGAAATAGAGGGTGAATCCTCTGTTTGAACCGTTTCTAATTTTAGCGGGAGGTTCTTTCCCAAAGGCTGTGAAGCCATCCCTTTAGACTCGGGTAGAGTGTTTTGAGATTGGGCCTGGGCCTGTATCTCATGTTGAGTTTGTTGGGCTTCAAGTTCATCTTCTTCCTCGACTTGATCAGCCCAGCTTTTGCTTGATTTGGCTAACTTTTCCAAGCTTTTTATTGTTTCTTCAATCTCCCCCCTCTGCAAAAGAAGTTGTTGAAGTTTTTGCTTAGTCGCCAAGATCTGGTCGTCTTTTTGTTTGAGTTGGTGTCGGAGTTGCTTTAGTGCTGGCTCCATTCTCTTGTCAATGTGTCTGCAAATGCGTTTTTCTCGCTCTTGATTAATTCTAGATATGGTTGAAATTGTTGAAGGCGCAGTTGCCACCTGATTAACCTGCCATTGCGATAGTCGGTCTTGATATTGTATTTCCAGAAACCTGTAAAATATTTTGAGTCTGTTCGTAATAGAAATCTAGAAGATAGTAAATCTATTTTCCATTTTTCTAGAACTCGCACACCCGCCAGAACCTCAAGTTCGGCTATTGGATATCGTGTTTCTGTGTCACTGAAAGTGCCAGATACGTATTTACACAACATGAGTTGTTTTTCAAACTCTGCTGGTAATTTTAAACTCATTTCTGAGCGTTGTTCTGTGGTTTTATTGGTTTCACCATCAGAAGCTTTTGGAGTGCCGGACTCATTGAGCCCTAGCTTTTTCTTCCCATTGGGAAGGGCCCTCATACAACCAGCCCAAATATGCTGTGAAGCATCTGTCTCGATGACTAGAAAGTCTTCGATTTTCGGGTTGTAGAGTTGTGGCAAGGTAACTATCTTGCTTTTGATCCTTCTAACGATCTCAGAATCTGAGTCTGTCCAGGACCAGGGGACTTTTTCTGAAAGTTTTTTCTGTAAAATTTTTCTTTCAGAGGAAAGGTTTTTGAAAAATCCTTCATTGGCTATGTAATTAAGACAGCCAAGAAATCTTTGTATTTGTTTTTTGTTTTCAAGTTCGTCAGGGAAAGCCAAAATCTTTTCCTGCGTGTGAGGGGCAAGGTCAATCTTCCCATCACCTTTTATAATTGTTCCAAGGTACTCAATTTCTTGTTGTACCAATTTTGATTTCTTTTTTGAAATAACAATTCCTTGTTCTTTGATTCTGTTTAAAACAATTTGAACATCTTGAATATGATCTTCTCGAGACCCTTTTGAAAATATTAAAATATCATCAATGTATGCCAGGCAGATGTGTTCAAGTCCTTGTAAGGACTTGTCCATAAATCTTTGGTATATACTTGGTGCTTGTTTTAAACCAAATGAAAGAACATTCCATTCATAATGCTTTTGTGGAGGACATGAAAAGGTTGTTAAAGGTTTTGTTTCTTCACTTAGTCTGAGCTGATAATAGCCAGATTTAGCATCTAAAGATGAAAACCATTTTGAACCCTTGATCTTTTCAAAGATAAAATCCTTTCTTGGAAGTTTGTACGAGTCATCAATGGTGGCTTCGCTCATTTTCTTATAATTGATAACCATGCGTCTTTTTCCACGCTTAATCTCATTGTGATTTTCAACATAAAACGCAGGTGCTGAGTGAGGACTAGCACTTGGTCTTATTAGTTTTTTGTCAAGAAGGTCCTGACATTCTTGCTTGAATTCTTCTACATCTCGAATAGTGTAGGGAATTCGATTAGGAACATTCACCTCTTTGTTTGAATCTTTTAGTTTTATAATAATTAACTCATGATTTTTGTTTTTGAAACTGTCGAGAGGGTGGTCAGAGCACACCTCATCGAGAGACTGCTCTATTGTTTTGAAAAATAGAAGACTCTCCAGAGTTAATCTTATTTGACAGAATTTTTCTGAAACAATTTTTACTAACTCGTTTTTTGTTAGAATTTTTGTTGTTACAGTCTTTCTTTCCTGTGGATTAAAAAGATTTTTCCAGGATAGAGAAATTGTGTTTGCTCTTTGAACAAATGGTTCGTAAAGCTTTAAAAAATTGTTTCTGATGATTAAGTCTAAGCCTGAATCATGCATGTAGATGGAAGGTACTATAAAATCGTATCCTTCGATATTGACTTTTTCGTTTTGCAAAACATAATGTATGTAATATTTTGATTTATCCGCAATGATAATTTCTTTTGGAGAAACCAATTGTTTCCAATTTTTCGAAATTGATTTTCTACCAAAACATAAGGTTGCTCCGGTATCTATATAAGCAAGCAAAATCTTTTTTCGAAGCGAAATTTTAATAAAAGTAACACTAGGGTTGCTTTTAGTTAAGATTTTCTTCGTCATTTGAAGAAGTATTAGAAATTAATTCAAAAATTTCTTCATCAGATGATACATCTAATTCGATGGGTTCATATCCCATGTCAAAGATTAATTTTAAAACTTCAGTCTTTTTTGAACTCTTTTTCTTAGGACATTCATTAGCATAATGTCCCTGTTCGTGGCAAAGCCAACAAGTACAGTCCTTTTTTGCCTTAGGGCATGCATTTTGTTTTTTATAAGAACTTTTTCGAAAATTTCTTTTTCTAAAGAATCGTTTTGAATCTTTATAAAATTGTTTTTTCTTGCCTTTCGAAAAACGCTGTTTGAAAATCTTCTTTTTCTTTTTTAAACGTGGTCTTTTACAACCATATTCAGAAGGTAACTCCTGAATTTTATTACAGCAGAGACTAACCGTTGCTTGTCTCTTTGCAAGTTTTTCCTTGCACTGTTCTGCCATCCATGTTCGGAGTGCAGTTATTCTTCCTCCTAAGTTATTACTTAATTTTGAAGACGCAACACTTTGATTGAAAAATTCTTCAACCTTAGGTGCAACATGCTCAGGAAGCTTTGAGAAGAACATTTGATCAACTTGTTTTGAAAAACGATCAATTGGTTCTATATTGTAATAATATTTTTGAAATTCGCAAATGAAATTCTCAAGGTAACATAAATTGCAAATTCTTAAGTTTATTATTTTCCAATAGTTAAATTGTGAAAAAGCGATTTCAGATTCCACGGTATGGATTCTTCCAACAAATTCACTTATTAAAAGACGGTAAACCCACTCATCTACTTGAGATGCTATAGGTGGTAACGTATTTTGAATTTCATTTGGTAATCTGCTTAAAAATTTATAAGCGTTTCCTTTTGTTTTGTAAAGCAGATAGTTGAAGATTTCTAAGGAATTTAGTTTTTTCAAACTATCATTTAACTGGATAAGAGTAGAATTGATATTATACCAGTCTCTAATTAAAGAAGACGGGTCATTGACACAGTCTATATCTAATATTTCTGGAATACTGCTAAAACGATGTTCTGGAATAAATTGAGATGGAATTTTTTCAAACTTTTGTCTGTAAAATTCTTTTTCAAGACCTTCAGTAGTCTTTTTTCTTTTAAAACGAGAAGAAGATTCTGGTTCTTCCTCGATTTTGACATTAAAAGGATTTTCTTGAGGTGGTTCCTCGTATTCATCATCGGATGAAAAACCATAAACCAAATCATTTTTTTCTGAAGTATTATCATCAGAATTTTCATGGTTTTTTCCTAAATCGAAAGCTGTCATTAATTTTGAAAGATCTTCCAATTGTTTTTCTAAACAATCGACTTGACTGTCTGATTGTTTTTCCATTAAAAGAAAATCTTTGGAGGAGGTTTGATAGTGAGTTTTGCAATTTCAGATTTTTCCTCTTTAGGAGAAATAATCTCTTTATGAGATTTTTGTAAAAATTCGTTTAGTATTTCTATTAACTCTTTTATTTTTTCAAACTTTTCTAAAGTTTCTATTTGAATTTTCTTTATTATTTCTGTGAGTGAATCTATTTGTTCTGAAATACTTGGTGAATTACTCATAATTATTATTATTATTATTTTATTTTTTTTTTTTTTTAGATAGTAAATAGGGACTTGTCAATAGCCTTTAAAAGGACACTTGGCACAAGGGGAAGGCATGACTGCACTACCATAGGGTGTAGCATCGAATTTTTCCAAAACAAGGATGAGCAGTTGGGATGATGATTCTCTTAATATTATTTAATTCAGTTGCCCTTGATTTTTGGGTTGTTTTGACAATTAACTACTAAAAAAAGGATTTTGATCCTTTCATTTTCTTCTATTTTCTTTTCATTTATTCCTTCTTGTTCACTTGTTCAATCACCCGTGTTGAGAATGTGTAAAATTACTGTGTTCGGAATTCCTGAGCGAATTATGTGATAGTAAATGAAAATGATTCAAAACACCATACATTTTTTAAACAAAATTGCATTCTTATGTTATCAAATATCATAACTTTTGTTTAGGCTATTTTTACTAGCATTTCAGTTTAAAAGTATGTAGTTTTAAAAGTATGTAGTTGAAAAAGTCAACTAGACTTGTGTACAAAGATAATCCTTCAATTTTGAAACTTATATGAAATATACAACAGAGCCATTTTGAAGTTGTGTATAATAATTTCTCATATTCTTAATTTTGGATAAAAGGAGCAATAAGCCATTACATTACACCTCAAGAGTAAGTCTTGAGGTATGTACACAACTCACAGGAGAAGAAGGTTCGGTTATAACTCAATCGCTAGCTTCTTAGGCCATCTCCAGCCCTTATCTCTACTCTAGCGCGAATTTTACTCTAGTCTAGAGTAGAGTTGAGCATTCATCTCCAGCCCTTATCTCTACATTTTATTCTACATTAAATATATTATTTTTTTATTCATTTTTTATTTCAAATAAATTGGTATATATGTATATTTAATCTTATATAGAATGTTAATTACTCAAATAATAAAAATATATTTTATTTATTTTTATTTCAAATAATTTGCTATATATATGAATATGTAATATTATATAAATGTTTATTACCCAAATAGTAATAAAAAAAATTATGTATAACAACACGAGATTGCTTCATAATACAATGAAAAAAAATAAAAAGCATTACAAATAATGATTACAATAACATTACAACTAATTTAAAAGAATCGATAAAACGAAGCCTCGGGCGCTCGAGCTCGGCCTCGTCAAATCGCTCAGCTTGCTACTATTAACCCGAACACTTCGGGTTCCTCTAAATAAATGCTCCAAATTTCGAATACTCGATAAATGGCTCGAATGGCATCGTGCCAATAAGATCTACTCGCCCCAACTCGTTTCTCGGCAAACCGAAATCTCACGCGACCTTGCGGGGCCGACGTGAACGGATTTTTATTTATTTTACTAATATGCACCCTAAAATTCTAGCTTCTCAAAATAAATGATCGGGGACTCGAAATACGAAATAAATACCACAAACGACTTCTCCTCTTCTCATACTTTCTAGAAAGCACTCTCGCTAATACTCGATCCACTAAACGAGGGCCGACGGGGCAGCCGAAGTTGAGACATAAAATGAAGCTTATTTTGACCAAATGAAGAGAAAGTTGCAGCTGCTGCTATTTCTTCTTCTAGGCAAGCTCGCAGCTAAACTCACAGAAGATAGAGGATGATGTCCAGCTTGAATAGAATCCGTCATGTCCAGCTTGAATAGAATCCATTTCTTCTTCTTCTAGGTCATTTCTTCTTCACCAAAAATTACATTAAATTACAAAAAAAAAAAAAAATATTACAAAAAAAAAAAAAAAAATTATAGAGATATGCTACAGTGTAGCGCCAGAATTGGCGCAACACTATTCACATATTTAATGTAGCATGAAAATCCAGCGATGGGTTGGAGGAGATTTTATCTCCACTCCAGCACAAATCACCGCATCTGGCGATGCGCTGGAGTTGCTCTTAGTAAGTTATAAGCTGGCAAATCGTTCACATTCGACACATCCTCCAATGCCATCTCACGTTCTAGCTGTGATCTTGTAGACTTTAGAACATCCTACATAGTACAAATAAACATTAAAAAATTTCAATAAAAGCGGTATTACGTTAAACTTCCAAGATCCAAAATCTATGCAAACTTACGTTGAATTCCATGTATGAAGCACGTTTTGCAAGCCATTGAGCGTCCAATACTTTACTTTGTGCAACATGTCCACAATTCAAGTTAACTACTTAAAAATAAAAACATACACACTTAAACTTAATAGATCTTAGCCTGAATTTTTAAATAATAAAATGAACTAAAGCTAGAAATTTAAGACAACATTTAATGATGTATGATTTTATAAAGAAAAAATAAGAAATGTAATAAACCTTACAATTTATGTGTTGCGTTAAATTCTGAATTATTTTTTGTTATTATTTTTAGTAAATAATTATTCTTATTATATATAAATTTCCTTCTTAATTTGTGTAAGTAGCAATCTTACTATCTTATAATTTTTTTCTTATATTTCTCTCATAAATTACAATTTATAAATCACTTTCTGCATTGTCTATTCTTTTTTTTTCATCAATTAGTTCATCAAAATTTTAAATAAAATTTTTATTTTAATAATAAATTATACAATATACTTTTTAACTCAAGACACGTAGGCAGTGTACCAGTGTTTATGAAATTCCAATAAATCGTAGTGTCCTTTGTAGCGAGAAAAAAACCCTGAAAAGAAAAGTGATGGCCGCGGTCACACATCTATCTAATCTGTGCTTCTCAAATGGCTCAACGAAGATGACAGCGCGTAGCAACCAACCATCGGTGGCTTCTTTATCACTCGTCGTAGCCCGTACGATTCGCCGTAAAGCGTTCCCCGTCTGTCGTATTCGCAGCGAATATAAGCCCTTACCCTGCCGTCCGATGAGCACTGACCGGACGACGGCGCAAACAACTCCACCCTCATCTTCCCCAACATCATATCCTTGGCTAATGCTCCCCCCGTCTTGGAATCCGACTCCACCACCACCGCGGCTTACAAATTCTACAGCCTGGCCGAGAATCGGGTCGTAACCCTAACCTGCGAAGGTGCGGCCCGAGAAGTCACCGGCAGCGGTGACGTGATGCACTTCCGGGGCTCCTCCCACGGCTGGGTCGCCCTTTGGAACCCCCGCACCCACGATCTGTTCCTCTACAACCCCATCTCCCGGCGCCACATAACCCTTCCCCCATTTCACCAACTCCCGAATTACAACCACAGACAGGATTACGACCCGTTTCGCGTGGAGAAGATCATCCTCTCCTCCTCCCCAGACGATGAAACCTGCCGGGCCGTGATTATCTACAAATTGGAGGGAATGATGGGCTTCTGCTGCCCGGGCCGTGGAGGGAATGACAAATGGGCCCCAATGGCTGACGTCAGGAGCTGGTGGAGCCCGGACGACGGGACGTCCCCATATAGCAGCTACAAGGACTGCGTCTACTCCCGGGCCCACGGGCTCTTCTTCGCCTTGACACAATGTGGGTGCTTGGAGTCTTGGGACCTTCATGACCCGTCTTCCCCTGTCTCGACTCGGATTGCAGACCGAATGAGTCTACGCGGGTTTCCCCTGTGGGACCACACGCCCATGACTCGGATGGTGGTCGCGGGCCGGGACATCCTGTTTGTGACTCCACATAGGACAGACATATTGGACTCGGAGGAGGGATTGTGTGGAGAAGAGTACAGGATCTTAGAGCAAAGTCCCGCCAGTGTGACTATTGATTTCGACGTGGATAGGTATGACCCGGACGGTGGGGATCTGGTGAGGTGCTCCTCTCTCGGGAATTGGGCTGTTTTCGTCGGGAACTGCAGCCACGCGGTTGCGGCCCAGCTGCCTGGGCTCAAGTCCAACTCCATTTACTTCACGGATTTGGAAGACACCGAGGTGTTTGAGAATGATGAACTGATCAACGGCCACGATGTTGGGATTTTGGATTACGAGAAGAAGACCGTGTTACCGTGTTATTATCCCGTAGATGCCCGGAGACTCAAGAAGATTTTCCCAGGGCCTATGTGGTTCTTCCCTAGCCAAGAGTGAGTAGGGTGTACTCGTTTGGGATTTTGAATGACTTTAAGATTTTAGAAATATTTAACATGGACTTTTTGAAGACTTTTAAAGTCTTCATTTGAGATTTTTGAAAGTCTTAAAAAAGTCTTTTAACTTATTTGAGATTGAAATTTGTTACACATTTTTAAGATTTTCAGCTGAAACAATAAACCTCTTCTCAACTTTCAAAATCATTGAATAAGCCTTATTAATAGTCGGCAAAGGGTCAAGCAACAAGATCTGATTCTTAACAGGCTCGAAAACCTCATTTAATCCCATAAGAAATTGCATCATCTTACCCTCCATGTCATTTTCAGTCAATGCCTTTCCAGATCCACATACGCACTCTGGCAGAGACACCAAACAAGCATACTCATCCCATAGACACTTGAGTTTTGTGTAATAAACTGTAACTGAGAGTGTACCTTGTGAAAAATTTGCAATCTCTTTCCGTAACTGATATTTCAAAGGTCCGTTGCTTTCCCCGTACCTTTCAGCCAATTCATCCCATAGCTCCTTCGCGCTTTTGACGTACATGAATGCTTCAACTATGTCCTTTGAGATCGAATTCAACATCCAAGAGACAACCATATATTCAACCTTCTGATACTGATCGTAATCGTCAGTATTCTGTTCAGGTATAACGACTGTGCCATAAATGAATCCAAGTTTCGATTTCGCCCCCAGCGCTAGTTTCATCGCACGACTCCAATGAAGATAGTTCATACCTGTGAGCTGATTTGTAACCAGAACCAATCCCGGATGATCCGATCCATGTAGAGCTAATGGATCATTCTCGCGAGAGTAATTTCTGGTCACGATCTCGCGTCCTTGTCTGTTTCCTTCACCATTGCCCGCCATTGAATAGCATATCGACCTGCTCTAGATACCATGAAGAGAAGAACAATTTTCCATAACAAATATCGAGACAAAGTATTTGGGGACATTTTCTCAATATGTTCTTAGCTCTAAATGAAAAATGTGTTGAGTACAGAGATAAAAACCCTTAGCTCGAGTTCTAGATGACAAGGACAGAAAAGTCCTTTCACAATAAAATGCAAAAACCAAAATAACAAAGCAAAACACGAGTCTACTAATAAAAACGCTCAAAGACTAAAATATAAAAAACAGAAGAAGATAATAGTCTTCATGCAATGCACGTCCACCATAGCCGATGAGATAGATGAGAATAAGCACAACTCAACAAAATACGGACCGGATATTTCTTGGCAAAGAAGATCAAATTCTCCAATGATATGAATCCTTCATCCCTAAACATAAGTGTAAAGAAATTTCCGGATGAATACTAATTCGTATACTTGTGTATATTAACTAATCATGCATCACCTCACCTGAAATCTGTTGAAGGATCAAATCCTTGCCAACCCATCTCTTTCCAAGCTTCCGACTTGAGAGATGGGAGTTCTCTGTCGGGATAAGATAACCTCCAAAGTTGTCTAAGTGCATCCTGCCAATAGAATAAATAAACCATTGATGCAAAACGAAAAGATATCAAAAGCACAGATCAAGTGCGTTTTATCACTGAGCCGAACAAGAACCCATTTCCTATGTCAATTGTCAATTGTTAATTGTCAAATTGCCACTATCATAAATTTCACCAAGGAACCACTAGGTTGTTCTGTTCTCATATCAAAATCAAATCTACTATTGCCATGACAGACTAGAATTCGTTCAAGATTACATATCTAACTATAAATTTGATTTCAGAGAGAAAAAAATGAAGGCAAAATACATACTTGATGCTCTACAAAAGTGCCATCAAATGGCACTACAAGCCTCTGCTTTATATGCTTTAGCCTCGCATCCTATCATCAAATCAATAAGAGAATCAGAGAATATGTTTTGTCAAATAAAGAAGGTAGAAAGGACTTATTAGTTCATGAGTGAGTTAGTAAAAAATGAAAATATAATCATTGTAGTTATAATAGGCAAACCCACCGAAGAAATTTACCAAGTCCACAAACTATCCTTCACAAATAATGTCAGGAGACAGGTTCAATAACATCTTTGTACATAGGACACACGCACACACAAACGTAAGACAAACTTCGCAATATTCCAAGTGAAATTGATGAGAACTTTGGCATTGTTAGTGTACACTTCGACAAGAATACTCTTCTTCAAAGTTCAAGGTCACAAGCACAAATTTTTATTACTTCCCTCATTCAGTTAATGTGATTAAACGAAGTATCAATTCTCATGAAGCAACAAAGAATCGCTTGCCTCTGAGTCGATGCCGATTACAATTATATCTCAAACCTAAAGACAATTTTAACGCTGCTATGCCCTTCAGATATTTATTGACTATGTTCTTTTACCCTCATCTTACCAAGCAAGGAAGTGATTCTTGGATGAGTGACAAATTGAAAAAAATGATTGCACAATTTCTAAGTACAACAAAAAAGCAATTAGAATGAAATGTCAAATGGAGTAGCTGAACGGTACCTGCAAGGGACTAAGTAACATAGGTTGAAGGAGGCGGTTTTCCCCATTTTGCTTGCCCAAAACAAATGGTAAAATTCGTCCAAGAAGAGACCCCGACCCGAGGACAATATTTGCTGGGAAAGAGTGGATAAAAATGATTGAATAACTCTTTTTTTTTTTTTCAAACGATAAATATATTAATACTAAAAAACTCAAATGAGTACAATAGGAGTGCCAACTGACACACAGGAACTAGAAAAACTGGACCTACCCTCTCGAAAGCACATCTGTGTCCGAGAGGTACAACCTCCATCAAGGAGTCACCCGCACACACAAAAAACCCACCTCCATAAAGGAGACTGGAACTCCATAAAGGAGACTGGATGCCAGACACAGCTGGACTTCTACGCACTAAAAAATAAAATAAAAAACACACACCTAATATACATAACTAGAGTAAAACCTCCCCTAGCCGAACAAACAAACCACCGTACCCCCTAAACTGAAAACCGAGACGCATCGACGATACCAAACTCCAAAACGAATAACAAATCTAGACTCCAAACTCGAAAACTGCGGACACTCAAACCGCCTAGACGAAATTGTCATTCCAGATCTGGACCCGAAGAAGCTCAGCACCGGGGAAGATGGGGAAACCGCCAAGATAACACCGGAGGCCTCGAAACAAAGTCCAAGGAGGCACCTTACCGCACGATCTAGCGGCCCGACCGGTCAGGCAAGACATCCCGAACCACCGGCCACCAAGTTGCAAGCCTACACTCCTACAAGGTGAAAAGTCGAAGCACGCGAGGCTGAGCGCCGACATCTCAACAGACACCCGTCGCTGGGCGGAGGCGGAGGCTCAAACAAGAAGTCGACGGCCACCACCGGAACTAGGAGAAAGAGGCTGAGAGATGGGAACCATGGCCTAATTCTCCCTGGGCTCCGGGAGTGGCAGATAATATGCCTCCACCTGCCGCCGCGACTCAGCCGAGCCAGGGAAGAAGGCCTACAGTGGTTGTTGCCGGCTAGGAGGGGCAGATAGATTAGGTTAAAGTTTTTTGATTTGGGGAAAAGGGAAGAGAGAAGCAAGAATTGGAGAGAGAATTTAGGGGTTTTGATTAATAAAATTTGTTTGGCTCGTATAAAATGATTAAATAACTCATTTATATAAATGTAAGGATCATAACATGAATCAAACTAAGAACAACACAATAAAAATAAACAATTTTATACTTGTAGGCTGTGTTTGGTAGACAAATAAGCTAGCTTATAGCTATTCGGTTACTTTATAAGCTCCCTGTATTCAAATAAGCGTTGTTTGGTAGGACGAGCTTTTTTAAAAAGCTCGAGCTTATTTGATAAGCTTCTTTAGGTAGCTTTTTAAATAAGCTAGTTGAATTTTTTATTTCAGCTACCTTATCAGCTAATTTACCAAACACTTTTATCATATAAGCAAGCTTTTCAGCTATAAGCTATAAGCTAAAAAATTGCTGATAAGCTATAAGCTAACTTATCAGCTATCAGCTAGCTTATCAGCTAATTTTATCAAACATAGCCGTAGTCTTGTACTATTCATATCAAATTGCTCCCAAAATTTCAGGGGCACTCGGCCCTGAAATTTTCAAAATAAGTAGGGGTATTTTAGTAAATTTGCAATAATATAAAAAAAACATAGGTAAAATCGGATGAAAGTTGGAACAATATGCCTAAAAAACCATTGAGATTTGAGAAACCGATAAAAAACAAACTAATTCAAGATTTTCATTTTTGATATGCGCTTGGATGAAAACTTCTCGAATGTAGCCAGTATTGGTGATCTTAATCTAAAGATGGTGTCTTGAAAAACTCATGATGTTTTTTCATTGTTTGCTTGTTGATTAAGTTGTTGTTTGTTTTATTGGTTGCCACTGCTACTGTGGAAAGAGCTTTTTGGACAATGAAAATCATCAAAAGTACACTACGTAACCGAATGAGCTATGAGCTTTTGAATGATTGTTTAGTGACATACATCGAGAAAGATATATTTCAGAACGTTAGCAATGAGGTTATCATGCAACAATTTCAAAAACATGAAAATAGAAGAGAAATGTTGTGACCTCTCAATGTTATCGTAAGTTCTTTTTTGTAATACTCGGATATATTCCCTATATTTATTTAGTCGATACTTGTACTGATTTATTTATTTTCAGTTGATTTTTTTTTTTGTTATTATTAGTTGGACCTCCCTAGATAAAATTCCTAGATCCCTCACTGTATGGAATCATTTCATCAGTATTTTTAACAATTTTTTTTTTCCAACGACATAAATAATCATATAAATCGGGCCAAAAAATTGGCAATGTACAGATAGATAGAACACACATGAGAGGACTCGCAACACAGTGCGGCCTAGACGGAAGCAACTAAACAACAAGATAAACTAACAACAACCTACCAATACCAAAAGCCAAGCTACTCAAACTGAAACCGAGAATACAACCCAACAAGAGAGATGATATAACACCAATCAAACTCGCAAAATCCAAGCACTAGACAAAAAAGGAGTTGACCACTGACACTAGACCTAGTCAATCCTTTCCTATCCTTCCTAAGTTTTGGAGTTTGCCACAGCAAAATCCGACCAATCCTTCCATGCAGATTTGATGATCCACTCCCTCGGCATCCATTGCTTCTCAAAGATCCACAAGTTCCTCGCTTTCCACAGCCACCACAAAATGTAAGTGGATAGCTGTATTCTATGTTCAGAAATGTCTTTAAAGCTCATGGAGGACACACACCACCACCATTCTTTCACAGTCATTTGTTCACAATGAATTCGGTTCCACTGAACTGGAGCAATCTGCCATGTAAGGACTGCTCTGGGGCATTTAAAAAACACATGTTCTTGTGTTTCAGCAGCTTCACCACATTGACTACACAGTGTGTCCAGCTCAATCCCTCTGGCTTGCAGGTTGCATTTCACAGGAAGAATCTGAGAATAGCACTGCCACACAAAATGCTTGATTTTCCCCATCACTTTGAGTTGCCAACATCTGTGTCTAGCTCTGAAATTGTTCCCAGCAGCAATGCTGCTCTCAGCAGTAGCTCTGCTTCTAGCCTTTTTATGATCATCTCAGAGTATGCCTTCTTAACAGAGAATTTGCCTTTATCAGTGAATGTGCACTTCCACAGGTCAGCAGCTCTAGGGTTTAGATTTTTAATCTGTAGGATCTTCACAGCATCCTCCTCCTTAAACAGTGCTTTGACTAGGTTGGAGTCCCAGTGGCAGCCACCTGCAATAAGCAGGTCCTTAACCCAGAATAGATGGCCATCAATCTGAGTTCTCAGTTCAGGTTTGTTTTCTTTCACACCAGGAACCCAGTTGTAGTCATTAAGCTTAGTGGATGCTCAATTTTAATAATCACACACATTTGAGATTTCAAGACAGGTAACAAAGATGCCCAAGATTTCCATAGCCAAGAGTCACCATTAGATTTCACCCAATCAAATAAAGAGCAAGTAGGAAAGTACTTACTTTTCAGCACTCTGCAAACCAAAAGGTCAGGTTGGGAAATCAATCTCCATAACTGCTTCAGAATAAGTGCTTTGTTAAAGACTTTGATATCCTGAAAAGCAAGTCCACCCTCACTCTTAGGAGCTGTTAGTCTATCCCAGGACATCCAGTGAAGGCTAGAGGATTGCAAATCTCCTTTGTTCCACCAGAACTTTGCCAAAATCCTGCAAATGTCTTTACATAGCCCAAGAGGCAGCACAAAGCAGGACATTATGAAAAACGGTAAAGCTTGCAGCACAGCCTTGATGAGTACTTCCTTACCAGCAGTTGAAAGGAAGTTATTTTTCCAGCTACCAATCCTATCTTTCACAGAGTCAACCACATACTGAAATGCATTCTTTTTCGAAGCACCAATCCCCAATGGCAGCCCAAGATATTTGGAGGATCTTTTCACCACTACACCCCTTAGGATAGAGCTGATCTTATCAGTCATATCTACACTGCAGTTCTTATTCAAGAACATTGAAGATTTGTGTAGATTAACTTTCTGCCCAGAGAAGATCTTGTATTTTTGCAGAATTGTCAAGAGGAGATTAGCATGGATTTCATCAGCTTTACAAAATATCAGTGCATCATCAACAAATAAGAGGTGAGTTAGCATAGGCCCATCTCTGGCTGTTCTGATGCCTCTGAATTGACCCACACTGACTTTATGTTGAATGAAGGATGATAAAAGCTCAGACACCAGAATGAAAAGATATGGAGACAGGGGATCACCCTGTCTCAACCCTCTGGAAGCTCTCACAAACCCACAATTAGCCCCATTCAAGTTGAAGAAAAAAGTAGGAGTAGAAATGCAGCTATACACCCATTTAATAAACTGAGCATTGAATCCCATCTTTCTCATGGTTTGTCTAACACATTCCCACTCCACTCTGTCATAGGCTTTCTCCATGTCCAACTTAATTGCCATAAAAGCATTTGGTCCAGACCTCTGTCTATGAAGAAAGTGGAAAATTTCATGTGCTATTACCACATTGTCAATCAAGTGCCTTCCTGGAATGAAAGCTGTTTGAGAGTGGCTAACACACAAATGCAGACATGATTTAAGTCTATCAGCCAGCAGCTTAGCAATAACTTTGTACAGAACACCACACAAGGCAATGGTTCTATAGTTGCACAATGATTCAAGATATAAGCATTTGGGAATGAGAGTAATGACTCTGTGATTCCAGTTCTTAAGAAGTTTCCCAGTATGAAAAAAACTTTTGATAGCACAGCACACATCAGATTTAATAAGATGCCAGAAGTGTTGAAAGAAAACAACCGTCATACCATCCTCCCCCGGGGATTTATCAATGGCCATATTGAAAAGGACTGCTGTCACCTCCTCCTCTTCAACAGGCTTCACTAGATCACTGTTCATATCCTCTGTAATGGTAGGAAGTATATGGTGCATGAGGTCATCACCCCCTGTAGTGCCTTCAGTGGTGAATAAGGTAGAGTAAAAATCGGCACAATGTTCAGCAATAGATTCCTGGGTATCACAGATGATTCCAGAGGTAGTAAGCAGTTTATGGATTGCATTAGACTTTCTCCTCTGGTTGGT